GTGAAAAAACCGAACCGAAACCGACCGACGGAGAAATTTGGCAAACCACCGGGTCCTAGTTGTGGGGCTCTGAGGCTCATTACTTGACGCTGGGCTATTGGCGGAACTTAGTGCAGAATATCGCTTCTGCGGCCGATGGAAAAGGCAATCGCTAAGAACGACGTCAGCTCAATTAACAGGATGAGCTCCTATATGACAATTCTGGCCAAAAGCTACTGCGCAAAAGAAACTTCGCAAAACTTCTCAAAGATCGAAACAATCAGGTCGCTATAACCTACTTGTACCTCAAAACAGTTATGGTTCTTATGGGAACCATAAACTACTTCCATAAGTTTACAGTTCATTTTCGTCCATCCTGAAGGTCTTTACTAAATGTTCTTTTCCGTGGGGAGGAGCAAAATGCAATTTTTCTCAAGTTTCTACAGCCAATAGCAGAAATATCTTGTTTATTGCATTATGATTCCTCCAAGAAATCTAGGGTTAAATGTGACTCGAGTCACAGCGGGTTAGGGAAATGCCTTGGACCAGATTTCGAGTTTAACGTAAGAACCCGATCGCGTTTACATCCAGATTCTTGAAAGAGGCGGCATCCAGGTTCATAAGAAAGTAACAGCATGAACAAGCTCGAATTATTGGTAATTGTGTGAACAATTTAGAATGTATTTACTGGGCAAAAGAGTCGATGTTTCGAAGGATCACAAAGCCATTATCTCCGCGGTTAATGAAAATTACGGCAATGAATCTCATCAGTCCGGATCAACCTGCTGGACTGATCGTCGCTTGCCATTTGACTTCTAAGCCAAATACGAACCGGAGCTAATATTGGGCACTCTAGGCTATATGTCCAGAAACCCTAATTTTGCAGCTCTCGAACACTCAAAGTATGACAAGATTGTTTTGGTATTATCAATCCAAGTCTTTCACAAAGCTGTCAATGAAAATCACTGAAAAGCCACACAGAGTACTAGGACAAGAGTAAAGACCATGTCCAGTCGTTATCAGTTTGAACCAATCAGATTCAATATTTTCGTTTTAGGCGAGCACTTTTTCCTCCTTACAAAAAAAGCCAATCACGAAGCACATCTTGCAGTCAACAAGATACCTACAAAACGAATCGACCAAGCGGAGGAGAGCTTTCAACCATGTACTAACCATGCTTCCACGCTAGCGGGAGACAACAAAAACTCACTTTAACTCTCTAATAATCAGATTGTGATAAGCAAGTTTTTTGTTAAATTCCTCGAGGACTAGAACTTTTGCTCGGGATGTTTCAGCTAATCACAGGCTAGTAAATGAATCGCGAGTCTTAATTACCGAAAAATTAATCAAAATTTTTGATTCCAGCCCCATTGAACTCAAACGCTCTCCATCCTGTTATATCAAGAACTTTAGCATCAGCAACACTGCTATTCTCGATACTAAAATCGAGCTATAAAACTTAGAAAACTTTGCCGAAAGGCACTCATCAAACTCGCTTCTGTTCCCCAGACCTAGCACGATGAGATCAGCTATGGGACCCAGCTCTCTGCACTCGGGGCAAATTAACCATTGCAACCGGCAAAGCTTAATCCAAAACCAGGAATTGCTGACCAAGCTCAAACGGCGTCATCTGAACAAAAAAGCTGGGATTCAAGGGAGCGCAAAAAATTGGAACCTACGAACCAACAATCGAAAAATATTGCTCAATCGGTCCAATCAGTCAGTTGTGGATAGGGCCCGGTGGTTAACCGAACCAAAACGAAAACCGAACCGACTCTTGTAAAACCGAAACCGAACCGACTGAAAATAAAAACCGAACCGGTTTCGGTTTATTTACATAGCTAATTGAGCTGCTCCATTCACTGTTATTCTTTCTTATTTGAATCAATTGCATTATTTGCATTTCTCAGAAAAGCATTATATAGTGTAAATGAGCGCTGAATAAACCGTTTCAGACTAACTGTTTTCTTTAGAAAAAAAACCGAAACCGAACCGAAATATTAGTGAAAAAACCGAACCGAAACCGACCGACGGAGAAATTTGGCAAACCACCGGGTCCTAGTTGTGGGGCTCTGAGGCTCATTACTTGACGCTGGGCTATTGGCGGAACTTAGTGCAGAATATCGCTTCTGCGGCCGATGGAAAAGGCAATCGCTAAGAACGACGTCAGCTCAATTAACAGGATGAGCTCCTATATGACAATTCTGGCCAAAAGCTACTGCGCAAAAGAAACTTCGCAAAACTTCTCAAAGATCGAAACAATCAGGTCGCTATAACCTACTTGTACCTCAAAACAGTTATGGTTCTTATGGGAACCATAAACTACTTCCATAAGTTTACAGTTCATTTTCGTCCATCCTGAAGGTCTTTACTAAATGTTCTTTTCCGTGGGGAGGAGCAAAATGCAATTTTTCTCAAGTTTCTACAGCCAATAGCAGAAATATCTTGTTTATTGCATTATGATTCCTCCAAGAAATCTAGGGTTAAATGTGACTCGAGTCACAGCGGGTTAGGGAAATGCCTTGGACCAGATTTCGAGTTTAACGTAAGAACCCGATCGCGTTTACATCCAGATTCTTGAAAGAGGCGGCATCCAGGTTCATAAGAAAGTAACAGCATGAACAAGCTCGAATTATTGGTAATTGTGTGAACAATTTAGAATGTATTTACTGGGCAAAAGAGTCGATGTTTCGAAGGATCACAAAGCCATTATCTCCGCGGTTAATGAAAATTACGGCAATGAATCTCATCAGTCCGGATCAACCTGCTGGACTGATCGTCGCTTGCCATTTGACTTCTAAGCCAAATACGAACCGGAGCTAATATTGGGCACTCTAGGCTATATGTCCAGAAACCCTAATTTTGCAGCTCTCGAACACTCAAAGTATGACAAGATTGTTTTGGTATTATCAAGGACTAAAAATAGACATGCTTGACCCCGCCGAGATCGCCAGCCAAGTTTACAGCAGAGAAGGGTGAAGGTCGTTCCTAGAAGTAATATGAGTAATCACATTTCGCCCTACATTCAAACCGGTATTCTGTTGCACCAAAAACACAGAGCGAACCCTGCCGAGCGTTCGAAGATCTTGCTAATGGGGCCAATATGTGCGTCCAGCATACAAAGAATCTCACATTACACAAGGAGCGATTGGTTCTCAAGGAGCTCGCTAACGGACACTCAGACTTTTTTCTAATAACATGTTCTAAAACACTTAATAAAATTTTTTAATTTTTTCTAAAATGTTTATTTTTCACTACACTAGTTTAACGACAGTTCAAAATGTCAGTTTTTAAACTAGTTAAAGAGCAGTATCTAAGGAGAAAAACAGAGAGTTTTGAATAATTTGAGATTAAAACTAATCTATTTACAATCAAAACTGAAAATTTTGCTAAAATTGATTACATTGAAATTATAATTGATAAAAAAAACTGTAAATAAAACCCAGAAAACAAAAGGCTTAATTAAGCTTAGAAAGGGTATTGAGTGTCTAGTCAGCGATTTGATTTTTTGAAAACACGCCAAATATACAAATGATTTCAACTTTTAACGCTATTGCTGATATCATGACAACAAATGTAGCCAACATCACCACCATTCTGTGAGTAGTTTTTCAAATGAGTTTTCTGTAGGAGCTGCACTCGTGATCTAACGAATGCCCTTCATTTATACAGTTTTAAATGATTGTTTTTAAAATTCAATGTTTGCATCGCTTTGTTTTCCACAAAGAAAACAGTGCAAATGCTGTGACTTTATGCAAAGACGCGCATTCATAGTACCACAGCCTTCATGAACGTTTAGAGCACCTTTTCTGTCATCGAGTTATATTATAAGGTAGCCTTCATCTCAAGAGTAATCTGCTTTCATCGCAAACAGACTTTTCGTTGAAATTACGCTGCTTGCATTTGAAGAAGTTACTAAGCTATTTTGCAACAAGTGAGAACTTTACTTTTGTAACTTACTAATGGTCCTTGTTCAAAGTTTCTTTTGAGACTCAAGTTTATTTTCGAAAGATCTGTAAAAATATAAATTGTTAATGCATTGCAGTACTTCTATTTTGCGCAACAAATAAGAAAGAATCATTGGAATTCGAACAATGAAACGCTTTAACAATCAGAAAAATATGACAAAGATACTGCGAAATACTTTGAATTGGCCCTGGGCAAAAGCCAAAGCTCTTTCTAATATAGACTAACTGGGACAATCCGTTGCTGAAATACTCTTTGGAAGACAAAACTTAATCATAACTGATACGGTGATAATTTGTAACACATACAGCTCATTAAAAATATTTATGCATGTTGTAAATGCAATAAGTAAAGCTACAGTCTAGTCATGTTTGATCAATTGCCATTTATCAAAAAATTATAATTTTCCTGCAGTTATATCTGGCTGACAGTTTCAGTGTAAACTACTTCTAATAGATTTTTAAATACAACCATTGTTCATATATAGCGAAGCGCACGCAAGCTGAGCCAAAAACATCTAATATTTTAAACATAGCCAAGAGATATTCGGAGTCAATGAACTCAGGGAGAAAACAATGAACTTAATGAGAACTTAGAGAAAAAATATTCAAAAAATCAAGCTCTTTCAATTTTTGAGACTGACGATTGATCTTCCATTCAGTGGCGTTCGCAGAATATTTTCCAGGGGTGGTGTTTTCTAGAAAAATCTAGTTTTGAAAAAAAAACAAGAAAAAACAGTAGAATGAGAATCAAGCATCGGAAGAAAGTTCACCAGTTGGTAACAAAAAAACTAACCAGAATCATTTTCAGAAGTCGAAAAAATTCAAAACGACTTACAAATTAAAGGCCTCTAACCCTCAAAAAAGCACACAAGAAATTGTTTCGCTCATAAAACGACGCAATAGGAGGCCACAAAGCCGATATAATCTAAGGCGAAATCTTTTACGTTGAAAAAGAGAAAAATAACTTAAGTATTAACAAACCGAGTTGGTTTTACTGCCACAGATCCAAATTTCCTACTTTTAAAAAAATGGAAATGGATTTATAATCAATGCTGCGCTCCGCTCGTATAAACAAAGAACTTTCGTGACAGGGCATACTAGTAACGCTATGGTTCGTACTTTGATGCAGAGTTTTTTATTGAACATAAAATCAATTGACTGAGTTTACGCAAACAAAAGAAGGATGCGTTAGACTCGCAATTATTGTTAGTTTCTGAATCTGCTGCCAGTTCCAACTGATCTGCTCAACTTGACCCTGCTGATGTTTTGTTTTTTCTTCAGTAACTGTCAACCATGTTCTGGTGGTAGATTTCTCTTGTGTCGGGTTGTCGTCAACTTGCTATCATAATTGATGATCCTTCGAAGAAAGATGGATAAAACATGAAGTGAGGAGTCTGCTTTTGGTAATGAAAACAGAAGCAAGAAGTCTGTAGAAACGGATTTCAAATTAGTAGGCGAATGATAGAAATAATTGATAGATACGGGATGTGTGTGTGTGTGTGTGTGTGTTTGTGTGTGCTGCTGTGCATCTGTGGAAGAAGGGGGATGTGTGGGTGATCTACTGTTTCTCAATTTTGCCGATGACCTTCCCGTCGAACAGTGGCAACACGTCTTCGTCCTCCGTGATTTCCTGCTGCACAACTCCCCCCAACTCAATCTCATTGCTGCGCATCTTGAAGAAATACCTACACACCACAGCGAAACACAAGAGAACATCAACGATATTGTATTTTTTTCGCACACATGGTAAGAACAGCTGTTTGAAATTCAAGAATATTTTATGATTCGCGCTGCTTTTTTTCTCAAAATGAACACACATGGAGAAAAACAAATCAATATGTAATTGTTTAATTCGCTGTTGAATCTAAAATTGACATACACTTACGACGATAAAAGTCGTTCAGTTTTTACACAGAATTTGAAATTTTGCTATTCTGCTGCCTTCCGTTCAGCAAAAAACTTCAATTGAACTTCAAAGGAAACCAACCGCCAGACCGCGTCAAATCAAAAATCAAAAGTATGACCAATTTTTAATACTTTTGAACAAAACATATCCAACAGACAATTGAAAAAATCGTGAATACAAAAAAAAACAGAAAAAAAATACGACTTGAATTTTGAAAAAAAACTTCAATTTCATATTTCCAAGGAAAACATTGGCAACACACAGTTAGAAAAGACTCATGAACACAAGGAAATAAAAAAACTGACTGTTTTTTAAAAGAAAACATTAACTTTCGAATTAAAGAAAATGAATGACACTAAGGCTCTTACAATTTCAAGAACAAAACCCGATTGAAACTTTCGTTGATGAAATTAACCCAATTTTAAAAAGATAGAAGATAAAGCACATTGAACGCAATTTGAACTTTTGCCAGTATATTGCCTTCCGTTCAGCAAAATACTTCAACTGAACTTGAAAAGAAACCAACAGCCAGGCCGCGTCAAATAAAAAAAAGCAAGTTTGAAAGCAAGACAAAAATGACAATCAGACAAATATTTGATTTCCAAGATAAACCTAAAGCATTGCCAATCGAAGATTATAAGAGTAATGCACACAAGTAAACATAAAAAACACTGACTTTGTTGAAAAAAATCTCAACTTTCGAATTTCAGAGAAAAAAAAGATGCACTTTAAGCTCTTTGAATTTTTAGAACAATTTATGACCAGCGCTTTTTTGATAATATTAACCCAAATTGAGAAAACTGGATGAACAGGTATAGTTTTTATTCGGTTGATCTAAAAATTAAATTCCACTTTCGAAACTAGAAATCGTTCACAAATTTTCGCGCCATTTTCAAAATCGTATTTGGAGAGTCCTATTCACGTCACTTTCAGCAGGTGAATTTCAATTGAACTCAAAAAGTGCATATATACCTAAGTGCATCAATGTTTTAAGACTTTTTCCTGAAAAAAAAAATCAGCAAGCCCTATATAAGAGCCTTCAATACGTTCATTACTCTTAAAAAAATCCAATTTCGTACCTTAAAAATTTTCATGTTTTTTTCTCAGACAATTTCCGTTTTTGCAATGGGGGAGAGCTTAATTTTCCTTCCTTTTAACAAACGAAAAAGAATTGAACATGAAAAAAAAATTAAAAATAAACAAGGAGAATGAGCAAAAAACAACAACAGTTGTTCAAAAAATGACAATGCTAGGCAGCAAAAGTGCCACTAAATAGAAAAAAAGCTATTAAGGCCGACCATATATTAGCAGACAAACGATAGACTGACAAAACAAGATAGACAACTGTACGACAATACTAAATTTGTCAGAGAAGTTGTTTAGTAGAAATGATATAATTCCTGATTACAAGTCAATTGCTCTCGCAAGTGAAAATAAGCGTGAGCAACATTTCAAACGTTTAATGAAGTTAATCATTAATGCAGTAAAAACGTGTAAAGAAAGCGGTAATATTTCATCACCTGAACCTCCCTCTCCTAGTCAAGAGAGCTTTGAACTGTGCAAGTGTCACATTCTTGAATGGCACCACTGTCCTGTATGGAATTGTCTCATTGCAGAAGTAGTACGCCACCACTGTCTGATGGCCACTAGAAGACGCACCAGACGGGGCTACAGTCAAGCTGGGATTCGAACTACTACCCCCTGCCACCTGGGAAGTGTTCAGTGATCCCTGAGTGTTGTTCAATTGGGTGTTTTGCGCAGTAAGCTGATTGTTTGAATTAGAGACTGGCGAACGCCGTGTCGAGGAAAGTCCCCCCTGATTCGATGTTGAAGTTGCATTCGGTGGAAGCGTGTTGCAGTTATTAGCGTGTGTGTAGTGTTGCGATAGTTGGTGTGCGTTACCCGGCAGCGTACCACTTGCTGGATTGCTAAACATCAGTTTTGGTAAATTTCTATTTTATGAAAAACAATGATTTGAACAAACGCGATCCGAAAGAGCTAATGAACAGAAAAAATGCTGAGAATGTTATTTTTTCTAGAAAAAAAATGTGAAGATTCGCGGATAAAAGGTTGCAATTTCATGCAAAAATCAACTGATTAGTATGGTCAGTGCTCCCAATTACACGTAAACACAAGTCAAGTCAACTAAACTGCAATCATTATCTCTTTTCTAAACAACAAACTGCGTGAGATATGTAAGAGTTATTGAACTGATGCTTGGTTAGACAACTAACAACAGGGACAACTGGTGAGGTTGTTGCTGATTGCATGCTAGTGTGTTACTCGTGCTCAGGGTGTGATGCAATGGCTGCTGCTGCTGCAGCTGGGTTGCCCCCGCCATCGACACAAAAGACAGTCGGGTGGTGGCGGCGGCGTTCAGGGGACCGGGAGAGACTGATGCCCACCTGTGGCGGTTCTGGGATGTTGCTGCCGAGGATCTGGATCCTGGTGGACGTCGTGAGGAGGAACTGGCAGGGAGTGGTTGGCTGGAGGCTGAGGTGGGGTCCTGAGGAGTGGTGGAAGTAGTGGCAGCCAAGTTCATCTCTGGCTTGGTCAACTGGTGGCTGCGACTCTGTCTGTGTGTCTCTACCCAGTGAGTCACCATCGCATGTCTGCAAACAACCAAACTAGCAGTCATCTAGCGAAGCACAAAACATGAAAAACAAAGAAGCGATCTTTTTTTCTAAGTTTCCATTTTTTTTTTAATTTCGGCACCAGCCACTGATGCCACGACATCCATGTATGCTTCTTGTGCTGGAAACTGTGGTCGATGCTCGATCGGATCACCCAATTCTTGAAAAACAGGAAAAGAACCTTTGATTTAAAGGCAAAAAATCACCTGCCTTAAACAATGAACCACTTATTTCACACATGATTTCAATTAATGCTCTTTTGTGAAGAGGATTTCTGCTTATACATTTAAAGTAAACATCCTTAACACATACAGCCTTGCAATTTAGGTTGAAATAAAAACACTCCTCCTATGATACAAACCTTGCTTGCGTAATATTAATCAATTATTTGATAACACCATTTTTTGTAATTTAAAATAAAAATAAGTGTGTCCCGAAATCCTTAAAATTAACAAGTCCGCGAACGAAAAAGTAATTTTGAGCCCGAATAAAATTAAATTCTTTTCCGAAAAAAAACAAAACCAACAAACAGGCTTGTTTTTTTTCTCAAAAGCTTCGACATTCGAATTTCAAAGACAAAAAAATGGACTTAAAGCTCTTTGAATCTTTGAATTTCAAGAACAATTTATGATTGACACTTTTTGGATAAAACTTAGAACATTAGAACTTGGGAAACAATTTTAGAACATAAAGAGAAAAATAATTTTTTAAAATTCCGCTGTTAAATCTCTAAATCAAATTCCACTTTCGAAACTAGAAGTCAATCACATTTTTCGTGACCTTTACACTTTTGCTAATACATAGTTGAGTTTCACATCTTTTTATCAGCAGAAATGAACTAAAATTAAAAAAGAAAACAAAATAAGACGGAATTTAGAAGTTAACTTTTTCAGGAAAACTATCATTTCGTACGAAAAACAAAAGACTAACATAATAAAATTACTGCTTCGAAAATTTTTTCTGAGAAACAAAACATTACATAATTCCGTAACAAAAAAAGTCATTATAAAAAAATTTGAAATGCATAAATTATTCAATTGTGACACGTGAAAGTGCGATTTACGGTCAAGAAATCTCAAAAGAAAGTTAAGTGTTGTCTAAACACGAGACAAGCTCAATTACATCCAAATTACCATAATTGCAGCTCTGCGTCAACGGCTTAAATTCGTTTTTTGTCTACTCTCAATCTGCTCGTCATCGATTTGCTTATACAAGTACTTAAACTTGTATTATCAACATTGAGTTCGCTTGTATTTTATATACATATCTTACTACTTTTCTTCTAATAACCATGGGCAGCACCTTTCACACAGAGGCGAAGCTGCGCTTGCAAACGCATGCGAGGAAGATGCAAAAAAAAGCTCAAACTGGCAAACAAAGTGGAATAAGGAAAAAATTTAAAAAACACCTTGAAAACTTTAATATTGAGATCAAGAGTAACACATTCTCGCATCTGCTCTACGCCCGCTTTTAATTTAACTAACACTAGCAACCAATAAAGCAGCTACAGTTTCTGTCAAATTGCCAATGCTATGCAGCAAAAACTCGACCAAAAAAATACAATTATGTAAATGTTCCGGATTTCAACAACAGACCAGTTGATTAGGAAATTCAAATCCTCGCATCTGCGCCACGCTTGCTTGGAAGTTAACTAGAGTCCCAGCTAATGCTGGATTAACCTGTTCCAATAATTTTAATCATATATTGTACTGATAAGGAAATGGATAATTTTAGAAAATTTCAAAAAAATGGATTTAGGAGCAACCCTAGTTATTCTCTGCTTAATTAGGGGATTAACCTCTTATTTTACTACTCGACTTTTCAATTTAAGTCTTCATCTCAGATTTGGCAGCGTAATTATTGAAAAAAAAAATCCTAAAAACGACCAAAAAATCAAAAATTGGACTTTTCCTGAATCCATATACTTTTCTCAACTAAATCATGGGAATAGCCTCTGCTTTCCACACCCTGATTTTTAAATTGACAATTTCCGCACCTTAATTTTTTAGATTGAACCCTTAAAATCAGATTTAGCTAAAAGTTATCGAGAATAGTGACAAAACTTAACGGTAAAAACGTAAGAACGAATTTTTCCGAAGTCCATATCAGCTTTTCTACAAAACACAGGGTAAAACAGATTACAGGGAAAATCTAAGCACCCTGTTAGTTTTAATAAAGTCAGAACCAGTAGGTTTTAACAACCTCAGAGTCAGTAGGTTAGTTTTTGAAGAAAAAATAACTTTCCAAAAAACGGAAAAAATGGACATTTTTAAGGCCATTTATTTAAAAACCCAGTGCATAGCCACTTTCACAGGTTTGATTCGGATAGCGGATTTTTTTCTTTTGATTAAACGTTGATTTCCAATTTAGCAGGGTAGTTTACGAGAAAAGTCAAGAAGTTTTAAAAATTAACCAAAATGTCAAAAAATGGACTTTTTTGAGGCAATAACTTTTTTCTACCAAATTTAGGGAATAGCCACTTGAGAAAGAGAAATCCTTATAAATTTTCATTTTGATTGGAGCCTTCATCTCAGATTTGCGCAATTAATATTTGAGAAAATGAAAACAAATGAAAACAAATCAAAACAAATAGGTCAAAAAAACTTTCGAAGGCCGTAGAAGGTGAGGTAAAATAAAAAGAGACTAGCGAAATATGCATGCACATAGAACAGCAGCCGGTTTTTCAATTGGTACCATTTTTTTAGACTCAGAATGGTAGTTTTTTTAAAAATTGAAATTTCGGCCAAAATGTTCGAAAGCGTCGCAAAAAAACTAAAAACAACAAATCCCATACATTTTCATAATACATGTTTTTTTCACACAGGACCTAACACTAGCCAAAAATAAAGCAGCAACATATTCCATTAAATTGTTTAAGCTTAAAACAGCTTAAATATGATTAAATTAACATTTAGCAAAAGTGACACCAAATGAGCACTTTTAATTGAGACTTAGGTTAGAAAAAAATTCTTCGTAATAATATACTACGCTTCGCTTTTGTAAAATACATTTGAAACATTTTTTGTATTATCAGTTTACGCAACTTCGTGCACTCTGAAATATCAAATTTAATGTCTATTCATTAGTCCTGCTTGTGAAGAAAAGAAATGAGCCCTTCAATCTATCCAATAAACGAGTAATAAAAAAGTCAGGTCTCAAAGACTTACTTTCCACCGTAGCTGTCGGACGAGCCCAGACTTTGAGCATCATACACTCCAGAGTCCACGCCCGAACTGGTCGACTTGCTACTCGAACTCTCCGCCAGGATCTTCCTGTGAACACCTCCTCCTCCTCCTCCCCCTGTGGCACCCAGAGATCCTCTGGACTTCTGGCTGTAGTAGCCAACTGTGCCAGACCCGGATGCAGACTGTCCACTGACGACTCCCATATCATGGCCACAGAGCAATTGCTTGTTGTATCTAACAAATTACAGCTTATTGTTCTAAAGAGTCTACAATGTCCCTTCTAAATGCGATGCTGGAATCAATGATTAAATTTAAACTACAAATACGCCCACATATGAAGTGAAATTTCCAATCATTTGTCATTGCCTGCTTCTTCTTAACCTTTTCTGTTATTTTCTTTGATGAATGTTTTTAAATCTTGTTAAATCCATAGATCAGATGAGGTGGGGGCATGGGAAAGGGATTAAAAGGCATGCAGCTTCAACATGTCACTTGCCTCGTAGATGATGATGGCGGCGGCATAATGTATCCCGGCACCATGGACCCATTGCCCGATCCTGTTTGCTGTTGCATGTTTCTATAGCCCATTCCAGTTCCATTTGCACCAGAACTGGCACTACTGTTGGCTGAAACAGTAGCTCCGACGGACGTGTTCTGGCCACAACTGGAACATTTGTGCTGCTGCTGCAGATGTGTTGTCGCCTGGCTGTTCAGAGGGGTCGCGTGATGTATCTGGCGTTGGAGTGCGTGGGTGGAGTATCGGTCAGGGGTCTTCGATCGGGCATTCGCCGGGCTCTGGTTGGAGTCGCAAAACACCCTGCAAACAACAAATAATTGAGTTTCTCTCTTATGGGATAATTCATATCAGCATTATCTTCCTACGAAGCTGAACCACAACCTAGCTAAACCTTAATTTTTAACTTACACCAGATGTTGGTATGCATAAAAGTACTTGTTACTGTATTTCTTCGAAAAATAGAAAAATCAATGAGTATTTTGATGTATTCAGGCAGGATATCGATCGTGATGCAGCAGAATGAATTGTAAACATAGCTAACAGATAAATGAAAAAGCAAGTCAACAGAAAAAAAATAATGATTTTTTTTATATCTCTTTCGAAATTTGATAGAAAAAGATTGCCTTGAAAGCTCTTTCAAATTGTTTTTTTTCGCTGGGAAATCTGATATTAAATACCATTTTCGAAATTAAAAATCGATCACGTTTTTCGTGACCTTTAATATTTTGCTGTTTGATAGTAGCGTTGGCCTTCCTTTTAGCAAACAAATCAACTGACTAAAATACAAAACAAAAGTCAAATCACGAATAAGTAAATTCCTGGAAAACAAAACAAAAAAATCATCACGACCTAAAAAAAAAGAGCCTGGACCTACGATCACCGACTCTTAAAAAATTAACACTACACGACGATAAGCCGACTTTAATCATTTCTAATTCAAAAGAAGGATATCCGGTTACTGTGCGCAGAATGTTTCGACCATAGTTGTAAAAAACAACAAATTGTCGTTTTTTCTGCGCGGTGCGATTAAAGGATCTGAACAAAAAAAAATACAACTACGGCATATTCGACAGTCATAGTAAAGTAGTCAAACTGGAAAAATATTTTTGAAAAAAAAAATGACTGGAACAACGAAAAAATGATAAAATCTTAAATAAATTTGCAAAAATGTTTTGAATTTTAGAAGTTTTTGATTCCGAATTTGATAGACCCATTCAAATTTTTGACCGCTTTGAAATTCGATTTTTCGAACAAAAAATATAGCAAATTGAAGCTCTAGATTACATAATTATGAACAACTTATAGTAATAGCCCAAGTATTTGTAACACACAGAAAGATAACTACAGTCAAAATTGAACGATTCAGAGGCAACATTATCGTGAAATATTAAAGCTTCAACTATCAAAGAAAAAAATACATCATCCGAAAGAGTTCTTTGATTAGTATTTTCCAGTGTAGCATTTTCCAGTCCGTAATGCTACACTTCCTGTTGCACTAAATTAAGACAACGCGAAATTAGAAGATAAAAATTATTGGTGATTTTTCCTAACTGAACTGGAATTGATCTTTCTTATTCAGTTCAAACTGAAAGATCACTTCCCGATTTTTGTTAAAATTAGCTGGTGAAACATGACCTTTAGTCATTGGTTCGAGCAACTTTGTGCGGGTGATTTACCATATATATTTGATCTGATTTGCAACTGGAATTATCACTCAAATCTCATTAATTCACTCCTTAGTAATCAACAGTTTGTCGCTGCAATAACCTTGAAAGGTTATGGGCCCAGATGCCCAATCACGAGTGAGAAGTCAGGAGTCAAGATTGACTGTTTGTTCAAACGAATAAGGAAAAAAGAGACTTGCAGTGGAGTTGTGACAGTGAAAATCACAACTTGAAATATACAACTGATCAGTTAGACAACAGCGAGAGAAGCAGGCCAAAACTACTTGACTACTTGGAGATAGACGATTGATCAGACAGAGAAGTGCAAAGATAGAAGAAGGGCAACACAACTTCTAGAGATAGACAACTCTGACGATAGAAGCAGGGAAACACAACAGAGAAGAAGAGAAGACGGTCAAAAGCTGCACGAAGGGGCACTGAGTGAGCACAGCAGTGGAAGAAGCACTACACTATTGATAGTGAAATAAAACTGAAACAAACTGATAAATTACATGTTTTATTTGTAGAAGTTGCTGATTTATACTCAATTTTTGCGGAAGGATAAATTCGTTCGTACGCGGTTGCTCGAATCCGACACAAAAGCAATCCAAAGAATACATTGCAATTAAAAGAAAAAGAAACTGATACCCCAGAATAAAAAAGACGAATTTCTATTTTGCTAATATATATATTACCTAGTATGAAATCTGAGGAGGGACCTTAGCTTTGCTAAGGTCGCTGATGTGTTATTCAGTACGCACTCCGTTAGGTTCCAAATCAGATTTAGGTAATCAAATATACTTGCATAATTATATAAGCGTGCGATATCGTTGTTTGTAGAATATGATTTTGATGTAAGAGAAAACGGGCTCATTGAACTTTTACCTAGGGCAATACTTAATTTTTTGAGTTTTGGATTGGAGCTTTTTTTGTGTGTGAGAATTAAGTCGAAAATTGGATTAGGAAAGCAATGTCGAAAACTAATAGGATAGTTTTTTCGGGAAAAGAAGAAGATTTTTCCTACTTTGAAGAGCAATTTGAGGCACGAATTTTTCACTTGAAGTTAAACAAGATTTTAGATGAGACAGTTGATTATAGAAATTTTATGCCAAGTTTAAGACCGAATGCGAGCAGTGATCAAAAACAAGCTGCAATAGTAAAGGCAAAGAGATTTTTGAAGAAAAACAGTTGCATATCTGGTGCGAACTTGTGCAGTCTCTAGATAAAAAATCAGTTTTGTTTTTAAGACCTTATAAAGGCAATGGTAGCAAAGCTTGGGATGTTTTACGGAAAAGGTTTAAGAGCTTTGAAAGACCCAGGCTAATCTCCGAACTTACAACTTTGAAAAAGAATAGCAATGAAACAGTGATAGATTATATGACTAGAGCAGAGGAGATTCAGTATAACTTAGAACAAGTGAACGAAGGAGTGAGTGAAAAAATGTTAATTTCAATTATTTTAAAAGGACTTCCAAAACAATTTGAAACTTTTTCTACTATAGCTAAGTTTAGTAGAGATGAGAAAAGTTTAGATGAGTTGAAAAGAGATTTAGTGAATTTTGATAGCGAGAGACAAGTAATCGAAAAAGAGCATGCTTTTAATAGCGAGAACAGAGTTTGTTTCAAGTGTCATAAAAGAGGACATGTGTCGAAACAGTGCAGAGAAAACTTAAGTAGCAGACGAGATAGTGAAGATAGAGCTCGAAAAATACAGTGCTATGAGTGCAAGGAGTTTGGACATATTGCAAAATATTGCCAAGCAAAGAAAAAGTTCATTAGTAAGACTAAACGAGAACAGCAGAACCTAGTAGCTGAAACAGAGGCTCATTTTAGTTTTCTGAGTGGAGTGTCTCCGGGCGAGGACTTAGTTGTAGACTCTGGAGCTACCAGTAATATGATTAAGGATCGAGACATGTTTGTTAGTTTAGATGAGAACTTCAAAGGATCGGTTAGCAATGCAAATTTCTCTGAATCAAAAATTTTAGGGAAAGGTGAAGTTAGATTCAGAGTGAAAGATGAGAAAGGCGAGTTTAAGATGATTGAGCTGAAGGATACTTTGTACGTTCCTGAAAACTCAAGAAATTTGCTGAGTGTATCAAAAATGAAGAAAGCGGGAGCAGAAGTTGTTTTTGGTGCGAGCTCGTTTGTTCGCCAGGGAAATGGATCAGTTTACCCATTAAGAGAGGAAAGTGGTCTCTTTTTATGGGACACTTTTGTAGGAAAAGACGAGTGTTATGTAGTAAGCACATTGAAACAGTGGCATTGCAGGATGGGTCATAATAACTACAAAGATTTATTATGTGAAACTTGTGAGTTGAATAAAGCAAAAAAGAAGCCAGTCCCGAAAGATTCTTATACCAGGGCAACCAGGACACTAGATTTTGTTCACACAGATATTTTAGGTCCTATCGATCCGCTAGCTGAGGATGGACATAGATATGCTATAAGTTTTGTGGACAGTTTTTCTAGATATTTGAAAATTTATTTCATGAAGACGAGAGATGAGGCAACAGAAAAGTTGGAAAGCTTCATTGCAGACATAGGAGTCCCTCAGACTTTAGTTTCAGACGGCGCAGGAGAGTACATTGGTCAAGATTTTAGGCGAGTTTGTAGGAAACAAAAAATAAGACTAGAAACATCGGCTCCTTATACCCCTCAAGAGAACAGAAAGATAGAAAGGTTGTGGGGAACAATTACACCAATGGCTCGCTGCATTATTTTTGATGCGAATTGGTCGAAAACTTATTGGCCTTATGCTCTTAATATGGCTGCTAATCTCAAAAATATGTGCTTTCATTCTGCTATAGGCAAAACACCCTACGAGTCAATGTATGGAGAAAAACCCAACCTTAATTTTGTGAAAACTTTTGGGTGTGTAGCGTATAGTTTTGTGGAAAAACAGTTTCGGAAAAAACTAGACAAAAACTCTAGAAGGGGAATTTTCTTAGGGACATCGGAAAATAGTAAAGCTTATCTGATAGGAATTGAGAGTGAAGGAAAACTCAAAGTGCAAAAAACTAGGAACGTTAGTTTTGACGAATCTAAGTTCTACTTTGAGAAAAAGATAGAAATTGACGAAGGAGAAAGAGTAGGTGATGTAGTATTTTTTGGAGAAGTTCTCGAAAATATACCGAAAAGTGCTAAGGAAGCTTTAGCAGACCCTGACTGGCAAGAAGCAATGAAAAAAGAGTTTGATTCATTAGAGAAAAACAAAGTTTGGGAACTAGTTAGAAATAGAGGAAAGAAGCCTATAGGCAGCAGATGGCATTTTGCTTTGAAGTACGGACCTAATGGTGAAATTTCCAGGTTTAAGGCTAGGTTTGTTGCTAAAGGTTTTAGCCAAGTTGAGGGAAGGGATTTTCACGAAACGTATTCGCCTACAGCCAAGATGTCGACCATAAGAATAGTCCTGAGCTTAGCAGTTCAAAATAGGTATCAGTTGAGACAGTTAGACATTAAAACTGCATACTTGAATGCCAAACTAGATGAAGAAATTCTTATGAAGCAACCTGAAGGGTTCGAGAAGTTTGATGAAGAAGGAAAACCTTTAGTTTGTCTTCTGAAGAAAAGTCTTTATGGACTGAAGCAGTCCGGTAGAAACTGGCATAGGACTCTAAAAAGCTATCTTGAGGAATTAGGTTTTGAAAATTCAGTTTTTGATGAGTGCTTGTTTGTTAGGAGGATTGAGGGAGAGATAGAAGGTTTAATTTGCTTGTGGGTCGATGATATAGTGGTTTGTGGAGCAGACAAAAATTTCTGTAGCTGGTTTGAAAGAAATATCTCTGAAAAAATTGAGATAAGCGATACAAGTGATCTTAAATGGTTCTTAGGAATGAAAATTGATTACTCAGGAAACGAAATTAGAATAAGCCAGGAGAAATATGTTGAAAAATTGATATCAAGATTTAGGATGACCGAAGCAAAGCCGATAACTACCCCTCTTGGTGAAAACGAAAAATTGACAAAAGAAGATTGTCCTTTAGAAGGTAGCATAGAACAAGAAAATATGAAAAAATGTGACTATCGAGGACTTGTTGGTTGTCTAAATTACCTAGCTTTATCAAGTAGACCCGACATTTGCTTTGCAGCAAATCTTTTAAGTTCTTTTGTGGAAAACCCAGGTGAAAAGCATTGGAAAGCCGGAAAAAAGTGTCTTAGATATCTGCTAGGAACGAAAAGTTTACCTTTAGTATACAGGAGGGATAAGGCCTTGAATCTTGTTAGCTATTCGGATGCGGACTGGGCTGGAAATATAGACAATAGGAGAAGTACCTCGGGATATTGTTTTAAACTCAGTGACAACTCAGGTGTAATCAGTTGGTCTAGCAGACTTCAGCGTTGTGTATCAACTTCAACAGCCGAAGCAGAACACAATGCTGTGGTCGAAACAGTAAAGAAAGGAATTCATTTACAGGGCATACTTAGCGACTTAGGCATACTTGGTAATAGGCTTTTAGAAGTTTTCGTTGATAACCAAGCTTGTATTGCCCTTAGTAAACACTCAATGAACCACGGCAAGACGAAACATTTTGCCATAAAACTACACTTCCTTCGAGAGTTAGTTGAACAGAAGAAGGTGACATTAACCTTTTTACCAACAGCAAACATGCCTGCAGACGCATTGACGAAAAACTTGGGAAAGTGCAAAACTGCATTTTTCCGAGACATTCTACTAGGAACCACCTAATTTGAAAGGCGGGGTATTGGTGATTTTTCCTAACTGAACTGGAATTGATCTTTCTTAGTCAGTTCAAACTGAAAGATCACTTCCCGATTTTTGTTAAAATTAGCTGGTGAAACATGACCTTTAGTCATTGGTTCGAGCAACTTTGTGCGGGTGATTTACCATATATATTTGATCTGATTTGCTACTGGAATTATCACTCAAATCTCATTAATTCACTCCTTAGTAATCAACAGTTTGTCGCTGCAATAACCTTGAAAAAAATTACCCAATCAGATAAATATTTATTTCCCAGATAAATCTAAAACATTGCCAATCGAAGATTGGAAAAGAGTAATGAACGCAAGTAAACAAAAACACTGACTTTGTTGAAAAAATCTCAACTTTAGAGTTTCAGAGAAAAAATGATGCCCTTTAAGCTCTTTGAATTTCTAGGACGATTTATGACCGGCACTTTTTTGATAACAAAACCCAACTTGAGAAAACTGGATCGATCAACAGGTAAATTTTTATTCGGCTGGAAATCTAAAAATTAAATTCCACTTTCGAAACTAGAAATCGCTCACAAATTTTTGCGCCATTTGCACAATCGTATTTGGAGAGTCCTATTTACGTCACTTTCAGCAGATGAGTTTCAACTGAAATCAAAAAATGCAAATGTACCTAAGTGCATCAAAAATTTTAAGACTGTCCAGAAAAAAAAAGCAAGACTTATGATAGAGTCTTCACTAAGTTCATTACTCTTAAAAATTCGGCTAAGTTTCGGGTTCGATCCGCGACCTAGTGACTATCAGTCTCATGCACTAACCCCTTAGCCACGGACGCTGAAAAAATCACAAACACTAGTCACAAATAAAGCAGAGAACAGATGTTATGAAATTTCCAATTATACAGATCGTGATTATTGCAAAATGTCGCCAAATCAGTGAACACTTATTTGCTAGATCGGTTAAAAAAGAAAGTTCGTACTAATACACAACAAACGCTAGCAAGCTTGCCAGAAAAAATGACTAATCGAATCTCAAAGCACATGCAATCAAAAAGCCGTAAAGGTGCCCCATAAGTGGCACCAACCTTTGCCCCTTAGCTTGAAAAAATAATCGTACTACTACTACACTACGCTCGCTAAACCTATTTGTGTACATAATCAATTAAAATGGTTTAAGAAACTCTAGCCAACCGGGAACATCTGGACAAGTAAAAAACAGTTAACAACCAAAGGGAGTTCGGTCCATTTTGTGCCACAAAACGGAAATAATGAAGACATTAATTGAAATTTGGGACATATGGGATGATATAAATTTGGGCGCAACTTCAGTATCTCGAGAAAAAAAACGTGTCTTCGAAGCTGTTTTAAAGCAACCGAAAGAAACCACCCGCGCTTGGCGAAACTTTTTGAAAAAAAAAACAGGCAAGATAGACGTTTTTAGGCACTTTTAAGGTTTTGCCGAAAATCACGTATTTTCGTCGCTCGCTCCCATTCAAAATAAGTACATATTGGCGCCTAAGGCGACTTTAGAGCAAGTTTTGGAGTCGGTCAGCAAAAAAAAAGAATGTCTAAAAATTAGCAAACTGCTTTCGGGACAAGATACTACCGGTTTAGATCGCGTGAAGATTCAAAAGTATCATGAGGTATCGAAAACCTAAAAAAACTTAATCCTGATTACAATATGCCAAAAATTGAGCTTTAAAGAGTCTTGAACAGAAAAAAGCTCATATACATTTTTCCATATACCCAGCTTATCTGCTGTTTATGTACAATACATGCGTGAAGAACATTGGAAAATATTACAACCTTATACAATTCGTGAGTTTCCCAAATGGTTGTATGCGGCGATACATACATTGAGGAGGATGTGTAGTGGCGGACAGATTAGAAACGCAACATTATCAGTTTCTTTTCCGTTTTAGTTCAGCTTTTCTCACCTAGAAACATGATTGTCGATGATTGACTCAGGATCCTCCCTGACTTGATCTTCTTCAACTCCGGGACAAGAGACAGAGGCGAGATTATGGTGACTCATCTTCTGCTGCTGACTACTCGTGTGCCACATACATCGACTGCTCATCGGGTTGTTAGTTTGGTGATGTTTGGACTTGGGCATGGCTACTTGCAGATGACCGCCATCTGAGCTGGAGGCACTGTTGGCCGAGTTCACATCCATACAGTCCTAAACACACTAGTCATATTCGACACTTACCCTTGTAATGCGTGACAAGGAAAAGTGAATGTTAGAATCCATAGTTGATTTTGCTACAAATAACTGAACTTAAAAAATCAGAAGTCAAACCGCGAAATAACAAATTTGAGACAAAACAAAGACTTCCTCAAAAAATGAATCATCACCTATATAAGAGTCTGAACTAAGTTCATCGACTCTTATTAGCAAATTAATACAAACTCAAAAAAATCTTAAGACTCATATTGAGAAAGCAAGCGCAAAATAAAGCTTCAGTAACTTGTTTTAGTAATTCGCGCTGATATAACCAATTTTTTAGCTAACAAAATTTTATTCGCAAGCGTTACTCGCCGGTTCTTCTCAATTTGATTGAATATTTTGAATAGTTTTATTTCTGTCCCTTCTTGAAGGGCATCAATATGTTATATCAATCGACACATTCTGATGCAATTTTCTGATACCTAGATTTGCTCAGAAAAAAAATGGAAAGTTTAACAGAAGTTCCTGCCCACTTGGCAGCTCTTTAAACTTTTTTCCACGCTAAATTAGGTAACACAAATTACCATCAGAATGGGTGCAAAGGTCAAGCGCTATCAGTCGTAATTCGAACAACATTAAGAAATTTCACGCAGGCGAAGTTTCGCTTCGCAAACACTAGTTAGAACAGAACATGACAAAAAGCAGCTGTAAAGTGCAATAACAAAATTGAAAATAAGCCCCGAATTAGTAAAAACTGATCGTTAGTGTAAAAAAAACATGTTGAGAAAACACGTCTGGAAATTTTTAAAGTCTAATATTCCGCTAGTAAAGCCAGCAAGTGTGTTATAATAGAAAAAAATTCCGGCCTTGTCATAGGAAAACACATTTTCTAGGCTTCTCGGTAGAAAACACTTAAACCAACATTCTACAAAAACGAATCAGTCTTTCCGTTCATCTCAAAGCGCCCAAAAACGGCACAAATTTGAAAAAAGAAAACGTTTTTTTTAAAAGAAAAAACGTTTTGTTTTTAATGAACGGGGTCGGAATTTTCTCTGCTACTTCGCACAGCAACCGGATACTCTTTTTTAAAATATTAATTTACCAATATTCTTAAGTGATGATTGTAACAATGGCGACACACGGCAAAACTCGTCCTGATTGACAAACCAAAAAAGTCCGCTGAGAATATCTTCTTGAGAAATATAAAATTACAAGTCTATCAGCCTAAACTTCAAAGAAAATCAAACGAAAAAAAAATCAAAAAATCGTTTTTGTCAATAAAAATTGCCTCAAAGGCCCAAAATATCCCAAACAAAATCACCTGCAACATTAGAAAATCTACAATGAGTTTTTAAAATGCTATAAAAATCCAAGTTTTTTTTTAAAAAAATCCTTTCTGCGGAACTAAGCAGACCAAGCAGATCTAAATTAGCCAAAACTTTCTATTGGCGAGAAAACAGGTCTCAACTAGAATCGAACAACGGGGCTGTGTTGTCTACAGCATTGTGGTTACAGCTACTTGGAATAAAGCTAAACCATTGAGCTAGAGGAACTAAGCCGACAAAAAAACAGACGGACGATATATCGAATAAGCACAAAAACTTTAGTTTGCAAAAAAGGGCCCAGTCGGATTCGACCGCAATTTTTACCTTTACGCCAGATGTTTGATTGAATTTGAGTTTGTAATTACCAAGCGGTAACAGAGCTGAAAGAACCTGAGCAGAAACCCTGCATGCCGAAAAGAAATTCAAAAAAATCTGAACCTAGAAAAAATCTTTCCACTGAGAGCACACACATGCGCACAAAAAAAACTTCGCACGTTAAGACGCAATAAGAGGCCACTAGGTCGAATTAATTTGGCCGAAATTTAAGAAGCCGATAAAAAGTCGAAAAACAGAAGAAAGTGAAATTTTGACAATTACAGCTGGTAAAATTACAACCAATGTGAAAAACAAGTTTCGATTCGACAGCATTTTTAAATGCTAAAAACAACTGCAGTGAGAACTGTTTACAGCTAAAATAAATGATTGCTAGATAAGGTAACTCAGCCGACAAAACATAAGCAGACAAATAATAGGCCGAATTTTTTTCATTCGGAAATTAAACCGTTTGAAAAAAACTTCTCCTGGTCGGATTCGAATCAAGGACCTTTGCCGTGCTAGGCGTATTCTTTGCCACCTAGGCTCTGTGTGCAATAGACACTTCAAAAACTGAATTCAATATGAACCAAGGTAACACCAGGAGTCCAGAGGACAAAGTTGTTTACGGGAAAAAAGTCTACTACCTGTGATTGTAATACCCTTGCTATCGCAAGGGTGAAAACTCAGTTGGTGTCCAAAAAAAAAACAAAGATAAAAAAATCGAACTAAAAATGAAGCAATATGTAGTAGAGCTCCCCGCGCTAGTAGGAGGATGTTCAATACTGTAGCCAAAAAAGTGTACATGAAGTCAACCTACTTCTCTCCGATGGCTAAAAGAAAAATTGCGATTCCTGAAATCGCAGATGAGCAATAAAAAGTACTCAAAAGGCCTGCCTTGGGACAGTCCATTGATATAACTTCACTGCCGAAAGTATTGTTTCGCTACCATTACTGTAGCCGAAGAGAGTCAGGCTGTGATAGACTTAAAGTTAGAGCTCAAGTGAGAGCTCGTCCTCATAGAAAAACAATGACATGTTACTAAAAATGCCTTGAACCAACGTGATGCCCAATCACGTTACTCATTTTCGTCATCAAGAAAGTCAAAATCAATCACCCCATTAGAGAACTCTTCCTAAAATACTGCTAACCAAACAGTTAAAAATCTTCAATATCTAGACGATCAAGGAGACGCTTTCAACGCTCTAAAATTTTCCAGTTCAAGTAAACCCGGAACTATCGAGCACCAGCTACCATTCTTGAATTATTAGGAAGCGAACAAAACAATAAAACAAAGGAAAACATACTCTATGAACTCTACGTAATCAACGAAAAACAGTTCCACTCGCTGTTTTGAATTCGTTCACTTCTTTCAACAACCTAGCCAGATTTTCCTACAGCTTCAGATGTTAGGAGCTCCTACGCTGCGGCCACTTCCCCTCCTTCTTATATATATGACCGAAATGACTAAAATTTATGCGCTGCTCCTCGACGAGGCAACTACAACAACATAGCTGCAGACAACTACTGCAAATCAGCAGACGCTAGGACGCATTGTCCACAAACTCATTGAATAACACAGATCGGGCTCTCAGTTGCCTCCGTATTGCCGACAGCACAATATCTCGCCAGAATTCCTTTGTTGTAGGGTAGCAACATAGCACTAGGTAAAGTACTCGAAAACTTGTCGTGTCGTTCGCAGCCAATGACTGGATTCTAACAAACAAGAATTCGACAAAAAAAAATCCCAGAAAACACATACAGGTCATGATGAGATACTTCAACCAGGAACACAGGGATGATAAACACTGTTAACTACAAGGAGCTCGAAATAATCATCAAACCCACCAACAAACACCGGAAATTTGCTTTTTAAGACAGGAGAGAATTTCTGAGCATTAATATAGAAAAAAAATACAAGTTACTTGGCATCTTTAACCCAACATATCTGCTAATGAAATCACAATCTGGCCGGAAAATTCTTCCACATCTTCAATCGGGATTAAAACTCACTCAAATACCGAATTATGTATTCGACGCTTACTAAGTTGTTTATAATACTACCACACACCTTTGAAGATCTCTACTTGTCGAGTACACCCAATCTTCCCATTTAAACAGCTGGAGGAACGAGATTTTTCAGATCTATCCGCTAACTAAAACAGTCTGCGTGCTGTGTAAACCTGTTCAACGCACGCTGCTCCTGTAGATAGGTTTTAGTTACCACAATCTACAGCGAGGCGAATCTGTACTTTGCGAAAACAAGCAAAAAAAGACAAAAACAACTATGGCAAAAAAGAGAAAAAAGCTTTCTATCAGCCAATAACATGCTATTCAACACATCCTATACAGCAACAGGTTAAAGGAATAATTTGAATTACAAGTTTTATTTGCTACACAGAGGCGTCAATGATGTTCAAGAGGGATACCGTTACCATCATCCGAATAATTTTCAGCATACACACATACCAGTCCAGCTTAAAACATGTCGATCAATTTTAATCTGTAAAGAAGACACAAACGCACTTCTATCCAATTGTTCCATTAAAAAACATGTTTAATAGAACAAGAGTTAAAAAGCTAAGTTCATTTTTCTTTTAAATTTGCAAACTTTTTTCAAAAAATTTAAGTTTCTCATTGAAACGCCACCATTAACAAAAATGCACCCAAAATAAATTTGACTCCTCAAATACTAGACATTATATTGCAGATACAAAGTATGCCATGCAAAAAAAGCAAACGCAAAAAAAATAAAACTTTCTTATGCACCAGAGTCGATATCTACTTCTTAATGGTATGACAGCAAAAGTTCCATCAGTTAAGCACTTATATTTGCTACTTAGCTTGAAAAAATGTGTACACTTCGTAATATGACAGTACGGTCGCTTGCTCGATTGCGTAAACATACAGAGCAATCAGCACTTAACGAAACGCACCCTGAATCATAACATGCAAAAGCACTAAGAAACAAAAAATCAAAATTGATTCTATTGAACCGTAAATATCTTCAAAATTTCGTTTACTTTTAAAGAAAAGATCAGATTGCATCAGCCAGTCCAAAAATAATAATTAAAAATTGAACTGAGAAAAAATAATGTGAAAATTGTGAGCCACATTTCCACAAATACTTCGACCGGGTTGATACATTATGTCTTGAACAAAATATATTTATGGTTTAATTTACATTTTTGTTTCATTGAGAAGAAAGTTCATAAAATACTTTGACCGAAAGTGGGCCTCTGGGTACATAAACGTCATTACAAGGAATTTCAGCTAAAACTAAAAAAAAGGATACATGCAAAATACTCACTAAGCAATAGCCCCTATTCGAAACGTTGAACAGCTGCTCATAACTATATGCCTTATGGAGTCGCGGTTTTCGCGAAACTAAATAAATACTTTCAACTTTCACGCTTCAACTCATTCAAGTGAATTCAATTACAAAAATAGCAACCTTGGAATAAAAATGATTAACAAATTACAAAAATGTAGACCCGAGCTACAACCAAACTCTTTCCTATGCGTATGTGATCTTACCAGATGGTGATGATAATGATGTTGAGCCTCTCTCTCCTTCTCCGCCTTGGCCACCTCTAGTTTCTGGATGAGCAGGGCTGCGAACTCACTCACACTCAGACTCTGCTCACTCAAACTCACAGACTGCTGCTGTTGTTGATTCTGTTGTTGTTGGAGAGCAGCACTTCTGCTGTGGCTGCCTCTCTGCAACAAACAACAAACTGATATAACCCAATCATGAAATCAAGAGGAATCGAGAAAATTGAGAAAATAGACAAAGTATTTGGGGAAAACCGATGAGATTTAGAAACAAAATTCATAGTCGGTCGATTTTCCTTTTTGGGTACTAGTTTAAAAAATTGGCCCGTTACAAACCTCGTTTAGAAATATGATCCCAAATAATTGTCAATGGGTTGATATTTTTTGATGAAATCTGTTAATCAATATTGTTGATGATATTAAACTATTATGGAAGTTTTCTTTTTGTTTTCATCCACTTGAGAGATCACATTTTGTTTTCATCCACTTGGAGTAAATTTCAATCGGTCTGGCGGTAATTCTAAACGAGCTTTTTGATAGAGACTCCGAAAATAGCGGCGAGAACATACTTATAAGCGAGCAACCATTTGTTCTGTTAAAACATGCAACTTAAGAAACTGGTAAGATGGGTAAACAACTAGACCTATTTTTAATCATATGAGGAATGGATTTCTCAATCATATTTTAGGCAACACATATGATTTTGACGTTTAGACCGAATTTGACGTTTCGGCTCAATTACCTGCCGTCCCAATTGCCTGCAGTCCCCATCCATAATGTAACTCAAAATTAGTCCTGAATAATAGTTCTAACTGACTCCGCCACCCGATGAAGCTGTTTATTTGCTCAGGCAAGTCGTCCAAAATTGAATTGAGTAAAAATCAAGAAAACTACACGACGCGGCATTATCAAATTACATTTTAATTTTCTTTCCTCCCACTCAGAAAATGCCAAGCCAAACTTGGTTGAAAAAACTTGGGCAGATATTAAGTGGTTCATTAAGTTTTTACGTCTAACTTACGACAAAATGACCTTAATATGATTAGCATACGATTTATTTTTAAAGCAAAAAAGCACATCAAATAAATTTCAAAACGAGAAGAAAAAATTTAGAATTATAACTCTTCTAGCAATAAAAAACGATGCCGAAAACGACATTTCGCAAATTTAGTACTGCAGTGTACAATATAAATGAGCACCCAACAATTAAATCCTATATCGAAACTACAGTAACCTGTAGAATGAAACTAGTTAATCTAATTTACTACATGCAGAAAGGGCATGGCGGGTGACAGAGCCGATATGAAATGTTTCAGGAAACAATGATTATTTATCCGACTAATAAATAGAACAGACAGAATATTATTTCTCCTACATTAATTCGGGAAACTTAGGCTAGTATGAGGTCGATTGCGAAACAAAGACGTTATTTTTGATGAATTTGTTTTCATTTGCTCTTATAAGTGAACCAACAACATGGGGTTGTGTTCCTTTGAAGGCCTTTTTTCCGTCTGTTCAGCCTAATGAATAAAAATCTTTTAACTTCCTTGATCGCATGATGTGTACCTAATTACATTCAGCGAGGCTCTATTCTGCGTTTTGATAAGGTACACACATACTTACAGATGAAAGCATAGACTAGGTTCACATAGGGGGGGGGGGGGGTTGGACTATCTTGCTTTTCTCAAGACAAATGAGATAATTTTGATGTGTTTTAACGCTTCCACAGTATTCCGCAGTACTTTAATTACAGACCCCAGCAGATTTAGAGGGATTCGACCCCCTACCGAGCCAAAAATTCCCCCTTTGTACTATTTTGAGAATTCCATTTTTGGCTGACTGACCTTAAAATTTTTCTACAGGCGCCTTGGGCGCCAAAATACTAATTTTGAGGGGGAGCACGCGCCGAAAAAACGCGAATTTTTGGTCAAAAATTTCAAAAAAGTGCCTAAAAACGCCTTTTTTGGCTTGTTTCAAAATTCTACCTGCGGCGCACATCATTTGGTCAAAATGGGGTCTTTTTAGTGACTTGAGCGAGCTCAGAAAATCATTTTGGTCGATCTAAAAAAAACGTCGACAAAATTTTCGAAACTTTTTTGAAAATCAGCTCTCCTCGAGAAAATTTACAGCGGATCAAAAATTACCGGGGTGCTGGACGCTTTTGGACAAAAAAGTGTTTTCATAGTGGGAGAAAGGGTTCAAATTTATCCCGCAACCTCGGATTACTGTCAGGCCAAAACCGAGCCGAAATCTGTCTTGAACATTAAAAATCTCTTTAATTTGTAGCATACTTTTCCTAAAGTTCTGCTTTAAGTTTAAAGACATAAAAAATAAGGGTTGATTTAGAAACCTCGAATCACGAAAGGATCGGCATTCTAGACGGTAGGGTCTAAGAAAAAAAAAGGTTTTTCGTTAACGGGCCTCCGACAAGTAAGAAGTGGTCAGGAGTAGACCGAAAGAATTGAGGCTGAAATTAGTAACTAGACATGTTGTAAACATTAAACATTCAGCTTGTACTCACAACAGCTGATACTGTCATGTGTGGCTGTACAGGATTTGCCATGGGGGGAAACATGCGACTGTGGGAGCCATTGTATTGAGCCATTGAGTGGGCAGTCATGTTACGTCTGCTGCTGCTGCTGCTTCCACTCACGTGCTGATCCCCTCCTCCTCCTCGCCTGTTGTGTTTCTGCAGTCTCCTCCCCAAAGAAGAAGCAGATGAGAGCCCGATGCCACCACTACCTGCACAGCAGGCTGCCACTGGACCACCAGCGAACAGTAACGATGTTTCACCCCTGGAAATAAACCACAATTGTAAAACAGAGGCCAAGCGGTGCTTCGCATTACTTCCGATACAATAAAAGCGTAGCATTTCAACCTACCAAATAGAAGTGAGAAGGAAATGACTGCATCAAAAAAAACTTGAAAATAATCAAGAAAACTTTTGGAAATCCGAAAAAAATAACTCTCACAAAAACAAACGAAAAATACAACCACAAGCATTAAATAAGCTTTTAGTATTTTCCGAGCATTCACTAAGCCAATAACACGTGATTAGATATCAATTGATCCGAAAACAAATCATGCCACAAGAAATTGTTGTCATAAAAAATCATCAAATTTTTTGGAAATAAGAAAAATTCAATCTCAGAAGAACTGACGACAAAAACAACCACCTGCTTCAAACCAATTTTTAGTATTTTCGGAGTCGTCACTAAGCCAACAACACGTGGTTAGACACCAATTGATCCAAAAACGAAAAAGGACAAAGCAAACTGTTGTCATAAAAAATCAGCAATTTGTTTTCGTAAATATGAAAAATTCAATTTCGAGAAACACAAGCTGCATTAAACAAGCTTTGGATATTTTCGGAGCGTAACCAAGCCCACATCACGTAGTTAAACGCCAACTCATCCGAAAGCAAAAATGCCCAAGGAATTTCTTGTCATAGAAAAATTTTGAGCGATTAAAAAGTTTGATCTTTTAACTTTTTTACTACCGATCGAACTGATTTACTCAAAACAAAAAAAAATCATTTTTTGTCCTTAAACCGATGCCAAAAAAATTCACTAAACCCACAGAACAATAGCCGAAAATATTTAAGACTTAGTTTAGTTTCTCGAATAAAGCTTATAAGCTTAACTAAAAAGAGAAAACAAAACAAAAAGGGAAAAAATACCGGTCAAAGTTAATCAATTTAACACAGGCGAAGTTGCACTTCGCATAAACATGCACAAAAATGACCGATAAAGCTACTGGGAAAAACTGAAAGGTATAACTTTGAGTCTATAAATTTCTTCAGTGACGCACACCAATTATGAGTCAAGCCAATTATGACGCATTAGCAGTGCCAGTCAATTCGAAAAAACAACGAAACTTACGAAGTAACTTGCCTCAATTTATAGAGCGGACGAATTTTAACTAGTATACAAAAAAGTTCATTAAAAACATCTGACCCTGCCCAGGTTCGAACCCTCCTATTTTGTTGCTGCTCTCCTTCATTACCTCTACGCTACAGATCCATGATGCCATAGAGCTAATGTGCTATTTTTAATGTAATAGTATGTAATAATATCCTAAGCAGTAGCTGTACTTAATAGCTGGTTATTGATCAAAATCAACTAATATTTGCACCTTAGGTTGGACAAAAAAAGAAGAGGGTTCATACTATCACACAAGCTTTGTTGTATAAAAACTACAGTAGTTATTTAAAGACACATGAGATTACCATGAAAACTGCTTATAGCGAAAAAACTGTGGTGTGGCAACTAAACCTTTAAAATATAAGCCGACAAACTGTAGTCCAGTTTATAAATAAAATTTTTGTCATATAATTTATCCCATGATTTATAAAACCAATCCGAATTTGAGAAAACTGAATCAGTAGCAATTTTTTTTTTCAACAGGGAAATCTGAAAACTAAAATCCACTTTCAAAATTAGAAGTCAGTCACATTTTTTGTGACCTTTACTTTTTTGATGTTGAATAATGGAGTTTGCATTTCTTTAACAAAATGAAAAAATATATACTGAAGAAAAAATACTGAATTGTTTTACAAAAGAGTTCCAATTTTCAAACTTGAACGACAAAATGGCCTTAAAAACCTCTGAAACTGAACAAAAATTTATGATCGCCACTTTTTTGACAAAACTAACTTTTTTCTGGTAATTTCATTCTTCCGCAGGAAGTTCAGAAACTCCATTTTCGAAACAGGGAATCGATCACGTTTTTCGTGACCTTTACACTTCACTTTTCCATAGTGGACTTTGCCTTTCTTTTCACAAAGGAAATGCACTAAACTTTAAAAAAGTTCAAACCTTGAAAAAGTAAATTTGAGCCTGAACAAACTTCCAGACTTCCTAGAAAAAAAAATAAAAAAAAACATCACGACCTATATAAGTCAGAATCAAGTTCATCGACTCCTAATTCATTATGAACTCAAACTAAATTATCGCTTCTAATTTCAACCATTCCGTGAAAAAAAAATATTTGCGTAAAAATTTCTAGTACCCGATTGCAATACCCGTGCTGATTGTAATGAATTAAACTTCATAATGATTTCTGAGTCGATGAACGTAGTTCAGACTTTTATAAAGGTCGTGATGGTTTTCTTCAATTTTTTCATAATAAAATGTGTAATGCGATTTTAGTGTACTGACATGGAGTGTGTGGTTGAGTAGTCTGCGAGGGAGGCTGAGTCGTCAGTGTGTGTGTCCGAGGACAGGGACTGGATCTCCGAGTCAAAGTTAATCAATTTAACACAGGCGAAGTTGCACTTCGCATAAACATGCACAAAAATGACCGATAAAGCTACTGGGAAAAACTGAAAGGTATAACTTTGAGTCTATAAATTTCTTCAGTGACGCACACCAATTATGAGTCAAGCCAATTATGACGCATTAGCAGTGCCAGTCAATTCGAAAAAACAACGAAACTTACGAAGTAACTTGCCTCAATTTATAGAGCGGACGAATTTTAACTAGTATACAAAAAAGTTCATTAAAAACATCTGACCCTGCCCAGGTTCGAACCCTCCTATTTTGTTGCTGCTCTCCTTCATTACCTCTACGCTACAGATCCATGATGCCATAGAGCTAATGTGCTATTTTTAATGTAATAGTATGTAATAATATCCTAAGCAGTAGCTGTACTTAATAGCTGGTTATTGATCAAAATCAACTAATATTTGCACCTTAGGTTGGACAAAAAAAGAAGAGGGTTCATACTATCACACAAGCTTTGTTGTATAAAAACTACAGTAGTTATTTAAAGACACATGAGATTACCATGAAAACTGCTTATAGCGAAAAAACTGTGGTGTGGCAACTAAACCTTTAAAATATAAGCCGACAAACTGTAGTCCAGTTTATAAATAAAATTTTTGTCATATAATTTATCCCATGATTTATAAAACCAATCCGAATTTGAGAAAACTGAATCAGTAGCAATTTTTTTTTCAACAGGGAAATCTGAAAACTAAAATCCACTTTCAAAATTAGAAGTCAGTCACATTTTTTGTGACCTTTACTTTTTTGATGTTGAATAATGGAGTTTGCATTTCTTTAACAAAATGAAAAAATATATACTGAAGAAAAAATACTGAATTGTTTTACAAAAGAGTTCCAATTTTCAAACTTGAACGACAAAATGGCCTTAAAAACCTCTGAAACTGAACAAAAATTTATGATCGCCACTTTTTTGACAAAACTAACTTTTTTCTGGTAATTTCATTCTTCCGCAGGAAGTTCAGAAACTCCATTTTCGAAACAGGGAATCGATCACGTTTTTCGTGACCTTTACACTTCACTTTTCCATAGTGGACTTTGCCTTTCTTTTCACAAAGGAAATGCACTAAACTTTAAAAAAGTTCAAACCTTGAAAAAGTAAATTTGAGCCTGAACAAACTTCCAGACTTCCTAGAAAAAAAAATAAAAAAAAACATCACGACCTATATAAGTCAGAATCAAGTTCATCGACTCCTAATTCATTATGAACTCAAACTAAATTATCGCTTCTAATTTCAACCATTCCGTGAAAAAAAAATATTTGCGTAAAAATTTCTAGTACCCGATTGCAATACCCGTGCTGATTGTAATGAATTAAACTTCATAATGATTTCTGAGTCGATGAACGTAGTTCAGACTTTTATAAAGGTCGTGATGGTTTTCTTCAATTTTTTCATAATAAAATGTGTAATGCGATTTTAGTGTACTGACATGGAGTGTGTGGTTGAGTAGTCTGCGAGGGAGGCTGAGTCGTCAGTGTGTGTGTCCGAGGACAGGGACTGGATCTCCGAGTCATTGGCAGAGCCAGTGGGCACAAAATTAGTGTAGAGATGTGATGCCACCCCCACTTTGTCACTCCTCCGCTCATTCACTCCCAGTCCTGCACTACTGTTTCTGCTAGAGTTTAACCCACCCACTGCATTCCCACACTGACACCTAAAAACAAAACATCCACTAGTCATCAGGGGTCGAGAAAAAAGTTCACTTGGGGTTGTATGCATATTTTTTTCTGATGGCTAAATAGTTTTAAGAAAAAACAGAAAAATTCAAAGTTTATCTCATAAACCTTAACCAACACTTTTGCACATATTCCCTCATTCATTCAATTTTGCTTCAGTTTTGAAAAAACTGCTGACTTCTTTTACTCCAATTGAGGATCATGTTCAAAATTTTTTGCTGTTTTCAGGGCAAATTCATATATTTGAAAACCCTTGAAAACGATTTTCTATTATCAGAAAACCCTTGAAAACGATTTTCTCTAAAGAAAACATAGCCAACAGATAGTTAGAAAAGAGTTAATGAACGCAAGGAACTAAAAAACTGACTTGCTTTTTGAAAACACTTCATCTTTCGAATTTTAAAGAAAACAAATAATTGCCTTTAAAGCTCTTTCAAAACCAATTGATAATTAACACTTTTTTGATAATAAATTATCCCAAAAATCCAGGCATGTCCCAATGTTAGAAAACTAAATCTGATAACAAAACACCCACTTTCGAAATAAGAAGTCGATTACGTTTTTCAAGACCTTTACATTCTTGCTGTTTGAAATTGGAGTTGCCTTCTTTGTAGAAAATAACATGAACTAAACTTAAAAGTATATCGAAACTTAAAAATCAAACAGCAACAAATCACTTTTAAACCAGAAAAACCTATTCATTGTGGAATCCAGATAAATCCAGACAAAATCATAAATCCAGACAAAAAAAGGAGGTCTGCCACTTCTGTTACCTTTGCGAACAGCTACCAGAAAAAGATTGTTCTAATATCTCTTCGTGAGTCAAGCACACGAATGTTAACATAATCATCAACCATGGTTTATCATCAGAAGTGAAATTAGAAAGAGAGGTCTTAAGAACACGATTCAAACTGATCAATGAAGAAAACATACCAAATAATGAGATTAGAGTTATGAACTGCTACCTATAAAAAAGGTCGGAAAAAGGCCTATGGGAGAATTATCAATGAATATCCTAAGAAAAAGTAGCAACCGAGGAGCACTTAAAATTATCAATTTTTTGTTTTAACATCAAGGCTTAACTTGAAATGCAAAAAGGTTTAGTTGCTTTTGTGCCCGAAATCATTTCGACAAATTATGTATTACTGAAACGTGGCTCGTTCCCGACATCTTGGATTGAGAGATTCATCTGTCTGATTATCAACCCTTTTCTTCTGACCGTTTGCCTAATTGCCCTCTGCAAACAGCCCATGGTAGATCACTGGTTGTGGTCAAGCGGAATGTAATCAGCAGAAATATCAAAACCGACATGCCTGGTGTTGCTGGCTCTATCATAACTATGCATAAGCGAGTCTTTCTTTTTATGTCTGTCTACAATCCTCCAAAAGATAGCCCTTATAGATTCAGTCTGGACGAACCCACTCCACATGTTTCATGGAGCAAAAAAGAAACATGTGGATATTTGTTATGGCTACTTCAACCTCAGCACAGTGAACTGGGTAACTCGAGAAGCATTGGATTGATCAGAACTTTTTTATGTTGACGAAACTCTACAACAAAAAATTCAGACACCCTAGGTTGTCTACATCAATGGTATAGATGTGATAGCTACCAGTGCATGGACGAGAACATTATCACCTAAACCCGATCAAAAACCTATCAAATTCATTTTTGAAAGCCAGGGTGACATTATATACTACCGCGTTTTGCCCAATGCAATGTTCAGCTTCTGTACAGCAGATTTCGCCGGATTATCACAATATCAGCAAAACAACCCATTCGTAGGCTTCTGCTGATCAAACGTAAACAATCTGTCGTATGAAAGGGATTAGTGGATCAATAAAGCATTTTCGAGATTTGTACCTTAACGAAAATGGCATCGTAGCACACTGAACTCTTGTATCTTGCCAAATACCTCAAATACGATGAAGCGCCTCAAAACCTCAGTTGATAAGTTTATAGAAAATAGCCCAAACTCCATCAAATTAAAAATGGAAATTGAAGAAAGGGTTGCCGATTATGCGGACTACTTGACCGTTCTTTCAGAAAGCAGATCAGCTAACAAAATACAGAAACATTATAGGGCTTTAAACAGAATAGAACTACATCCCACTGTTTCCTTGAATAATAGTATTGCTCTTGATGACATAAAAAAAGGCCGAAATATTTGCAGACTTCTTCCAAAGTGTATTTATCAGCAGCACTGATCCAATTTTTAATGATTCAATCCCAGTTCCTATTATCACTGGATTTTCAATTGAAGAAAGTAGGATAACTAATATTCTTGAAAACATGTATGTATCGAAAGCCACTGGCTATTCAGAGATAGTTTCAAGCACATGGACACTTTCAACTCAACTAAAATTGGAGAAATCGCTTCAGCCTCGATTATCCAGTCTGTAAATTCAAAATAATAATAATAATGAAAATAATAATAATAATAATCATAATAGTATAGAATCTGCACTATTTCCATCAACTCTGAATCGTCAAAAACTATAAAAGAGTCTTCATTACTGAAAACTCTTGTATAGACATTGACGATTAAGAGTTGATAGTGCAGATTCTATATTATTATTGTTAATATTATTACCATATGATTAGGAGGGATTTTGACCACCAAGATACAGGTGAAATTTTGAATACTTTTTACTCAAAAATTCATATTAAAAAACCAGAAAATCTGTCAATCCAGCAAACAGAGAGGTCATCATTATCATCATAGGGCTTTCCAGGCAGCTACTGCCCATTGCGCCACATGAGCATCTCGAACCAAGGCTTTCCATTACAGTTGGTTGACAGATTTCTTTTGTCCGATCGAACGAGGATTCTTCCAATTTCTTCTGAGAGATTTTTAGGGGTTTTGCGAAGGGCTTGACATCTTTCTACACGAGTTGTCTCCAAGTAAACTTACTGCCACCTCGTGGACGTTTCCATTTTTCAACTTTCTCAAACTCTAGGGCTGCGTTTGGAATTTCATCTTGGGGCATTCTCAGTACATGACCAAGCCATTTCAGCCGTCTTCTTTGAATGTTTTGGCTGATGGAATTGCCGAGGAGGGCTCTGTCGCGCGTATGTTTGATCTAGACTATTTGTATGCATTTGGTACAAGCTTTTTTGCGCATCGAATTTCAAAGACGTCAAGGAGGCATAGGTCAGACTTTTTTATAGGCCATGACTCACTACCGTAGAGAAGCACATTTTGAACACACGAGGCGTAGATTTTTCGTTTTAATGATGTTGGGATAGTTTTTAATCCACAGAGTTTTTTGAGGTTCCACGCATTTCCAGGGGCTTTACCAATTCTTGCGCGGACTTCCTGGGTTATGTTACCGTCGATTCCGATTTTGCTGCCGAGGTAGGTGAATTCGTCTACTTGTTCTAGTTCTTGGCCGTAGCATTCCAGAGGTTTTTTTTATTATGTTGGAGCAAAACTTGGTTTTGCGTACATTTATTTCCATTCCAGCTTTGGCGGCAAACTTGACAACTTTGTCTAAGAGAGTTTGGGCATCTTCAAAGTTATCGTCCAATAGGCAAAGTCAAGGTCATTTCGTCCAGAGCTAATCCTAGCCTTCCTCCTTCCAGGGCTGATCTCAAGATCCAGTCTATGGCCAGATTGAAGAGGAAAGGGGCCAGAATTGATCCTTGTCTGACGCCACTCAGGATCGCAAACTTTCTGCCGAGGGAGTTATAAACCCTAACTTGACTATATGTATCAGTGTACATCGCTTTAAGTATTTGGGTGAGCGCATCTGGCATACGAAGAGCAGAGCATATGTTCCAGATTGTCTGACGATCTACACTATCGAAAGCTGCTTTAAAGTCGATGAAAGTGAGAACACTGTTGCGGTTGTATTTGTAGCGTTGTTCAAGAACTTAACGTATGGCAAATATTTGGTCTCTGCATCCACGTTTTCGTTTGAAGCCTGCTTGGTTTTTTCTAGCATATGGCTCGTATGCAGATTCGAGTCTTGATTTGATGATTGCTTTTAGAATCTTGAAAGCGATGTTCAGTAATGAAATGCCTCGCTAGTTAGAGCGTTTCTGGATGTCAACTTTTTTGTGTACAAAGAGTAGTCAAGGTACAAAAGCAATAAAAGCATGCAGTGAGCTGAGGCGATCTGGTTAAAATCGATACAATGCGATTTACAAACTCTGTTGTAATTGTAACTATAACCTTCCGAGAAAGCAGAGTAAAGAGAATAACGAAATTGATGAAGCAAAAAAGACGTTTTGAAAGAACATAAATTAATATTTCGAGAATTGGTTTTGGTGACGTCATGATTTCCGGAAACCATAGAAACGTTGGACAGAAAATGTATCAGTAACTTATACCCCGCGGGAGCTTTAAGTTACTCCAGTTGGAACTAGGACCAAGAGTCTTGCAAACTCAGAGGATGGCAGTCATAACGGACGCTAAGAGCGTCCCGGGGCCGTCATGTTTGACTGATGAGGAGAGTAACAGACTCCATTAAGCCGACCCAAAGGGAAATGTAAGCCTGTGCTAGCAACAGGATCTGCTGAAACCAGGCAGCGAAAGTTGCAGAGACCCTGTCGACAAAGCGTCTCTGAGCAGTCGTGGCCGAGTGGGTTAGGCACAAGTTTCTCAACACGAGGGTCATGCATTCGAATTCCACTTTGGTCACGGTTGGAAGGGTTGAAGAGTCATCCGTCTCCTCAAGGTGGAACCAGCTGCGGCGAAATGGAGGACATCTCTCTCCTCGCGGTTGGTCCTGCACTGAGCAGGACCGGAGGCTAACAAAAAAAATAAAGTGTCACTGAGCAGGTAAATTCCGCGACTGCTTACAACTCGTTAGCAAAGCTAGACGACGTTTCGAACGAAAATGATGAAGGAGAAGCAGTGCTGATGTATTGAGAGGAGAGCAGATGGAATAATGACTCTCTGCAAAAAATGAAGACATCAGCCGAAAAGACAAAAGAATGCAGGAACTCAAAATTTCTATGCGTTTGAAAACTA